ACAGGTTGAGAGGAAGGCAGCAGGGCTACATGCCGTCATATCGGCATCGGCATTGTTATCGATAGCGAAAGAGACACGGTCTGTGCGCCAAAAGTTCGCTGAACGCGACTGCGCGAACGCGCAACGAAGACAGCAACACCAAATTCTAATCAACCCTACCAGGCAACGTTGAGACTTGTGACCAACTACAAAATGTCTGGAAACACACCCAAAACCATGTCCAAGGGACTGATGGGAATGAAGGTATGTAAGGCTACCGTACCATCCGACGAATCTGCTAAAACGCAAGTAGTTCATGCAGCGTGCTGCCGCAAAGTCTTCACCTTCGACGCCTGACGGGCCGCCCGCCAAGAAAGCGCGCCTCTCGAATGGTTCTGCAGTAGGAACTTCGGACCGGGAGATCATACAATCGGGGTTGGACGCAGAGGAAGCGAAGCGCCAGACTGCACTAGACAAGGCCGCACAGCACGCAGGCGAGACGAAGTGGGTATTGAGCTTCAAGGATCCTCTCGAAGGGAAGAGGCAAGATGCGATGAACGTTAGGCAAGCGGGATTTGCTGAGCTGGATGCGGAGGACGATGAGGAAGACGAGGAAGAGGAGATCAGGCCCATAAGAATGCAATTCGGTGGTGGAGTTAAGAAGAAGGCAGATGTGCGTATAAAAAGACCTGGTGGAACGATCGAGCTGACGTGCTTCAGAATTCCGTACCCTTGGTTAAGACTGAAAACTCAAATTCAGAATCCGAGGAATCCGAGGACGACTATGATTCAGAAGATCCTGCGGCAGATCTTATCCGACAGACGAAGCGCGAGATGGCGTCAGAGAGGCGCGAATCAAAGAAAATGCGCCCAAGTACAGGCGACGAATCAGCCCTGACAACACCGAAGCGACAGAACAACGATGGAAACCTGCAGGGCTTGACATCGATATCAGGCGGTCGACGCTCAGGAGGCGCAGGTAGAGGGGACTTCAGTGGCATGGCCGACATGGAATGCTACAAATGCGGACAGAAAGGACATATCGCAGCCAACTGCTCGTCGGCACCACGTGGATTTGCAGGCAGAGGCAGAGGCAAGGGCCGGAGGTAGACGCGGTGACATCTTGGCGATGCATTTGTACACTTGGTACGGTTCAATGATACCCCATGGAGACTGCGTCTTCGATTGCAATTCGGTCATCCGACTTTATCCCCGTTTTCGATCAGCATGTACTCGTCTCCGACCATCATCTTCATTTGACTGTCGTCCATGAAGTTTTCATGGTCGCTGTTGAGCGCGGCTCCATCTTTATCGTACATGAACTTGGCCAGGGCCAGATAGTCGGGAAAGACAAAGGTGCAGATGGCGTCATAATCCATAAGTCTGGCTTTGCCGTGCATGATGTCTTGTATAGCTTTGCGATCTCGCTCTAGATGATATGTCTGTGGCGGTCTCAGCTTCGGTACAAGAAATTGGCTTTGTTCGTGGCTATACAAGGCTGTAGCTGAGTATGCCATGGCGCTGAAGAATGGGAACTGCTCGCTGAGCATGGTTGTTGTTGTAATACTCGATGAAGTCATCATCTGACATGCCATCCTTCTTCTTGATGTATATAGTTGCCTTTACAACCTTTCTGAAGCCCGTAGTGTTCGCGTAACCTGCTTGAAATGCTTTGGGTACCATGTTGTCACGTAGACGAGGGGAAACGGTGGACGGGTAATTGGCAGCAAGTTAGCGGTGATCGGATCGGCCGTCTTATCGACAATGCAGGGCCCACCGTATCTGACGTTGATCGCTACCACAGCACCGGGGGTCCGCCGCATTCGCTGTCTGTCCATTGTTTAGTGTTTAGAGCCTCAGTCAGCAACTCCCTCCTCCCCGCTGCAGTATCCCAGTCTGTCTCACCGCCCTTGAAATCCCCGCGGGAGCACGCAATCGAATAGCACCAGGCAGCAGTCACTGGTAGAAGTGTGGTCCCCGGAAGCTCTGTCCAACCACTCCCGGCCTCCACCGCAAGTCTTGTGGATGCTCCCATCGCTAGGCGCACGACAGTCTCTGGGAAATCTGTCGCTCGTACCACGACACCGAACACTTGTTCCCAGGTTCCCGGTTGCCTGGTCGATTGCACAGTACACAGTCTCGTCATCACATTGCTCAGCCTCTACTTCGCTTGCCACTCGTCGCCACGGTCCACGCCGCATACATAAACCTCGTAGTCGCCAGGCTGCTACAATCGTCCCGCCAGCTACCACACAGCGTAGCCTCGCAACGTCGCCAAGGAACAACAGCCAATCAGCCAAGATGACGGAAGCGTTGGGAAGAGAAGTCGGAGGACGGCAGCGTATAGAAGACCTGGAGAGGCCACAACTCGATGATCGCTCGTACCGAATCATCACCCTACCGAATCAACTAGAGGTTCTTTTGATACACGAGGCGGGGACAGACAAGGCTAGCGCGGCACTGGACGTCAACGTGGGCAGCTTCAGCGATGCGCCGGACATGCCAGGCATCGCGCACGCGGTAGAGCACCTGCTATTCATGGGCACTGAGAAGTACCCGGAGGAAAACGCCTACAACCAGTATCTGACGCGCCACGGCGGATACTCGAATGCCTTCACGGCCTCTACGTCGACCAACTACTACTTCGAACTTTCATATCCTTCCTCTACGCCTACGAGCAGCCAAGCCGCCTCACCAGATGTATCACAAACAAACCTGGCAGAGTCCAAAGACGAATCGCCGCTATGGGGAGGGCTGGATCGCTTTGGCCAATTCTTCATCAGTCCCCTGTTCTTGGAGGACACAGTCGACCGCGAGCTCAAAGCGGTGGATTCAGAGAACAAGAAGAACCTTCAAAACGACACCTGGAGGATGCACCAGCTCAACAAAGCCTTGGCAAATCCAGAACATCCCTACAACCACTTTTCCACGGGAAGCTACAAGACTCTACACGACGAACCAATAGCACGCGGAGTAAAGATCCGCGATGAGTTCATCAAGTTCCATTCAACGCATTACTCGGCGAACCGTATGAAGTTGGTTGTCCTAGGTCGGGAGAGTTTAGATACACTGGAGGCATGGGTAGAAGAGATCTTCGCCAAAGTGCCAAACAAAGATCTTGGCCAGAATCGTTGGGATATGCCTGTCTATACCGAGAACGAACTGTTAACACAGACCTTCGCCAGACCGGTTTTGGAGTCCCGGTCATTAGAGCTACAATTTGCGTATCGTGATGAAGAGAGGTTTTACGAGTCACATCCTTCAAGATACCTAAGTCACTTACTCGGTCATGAGGGCCCTGGCAGTATTCTTGCACTCATCAAGGCAAAAGGATGGGCGAACGGGCTTGGGGCAGGAGGATCTACTCTATGTCCTGGCTCTGGATTGTTTACCGTCAATATTAAGTTGACCGAAGAGGGCCTCAAAAACTACAAGGAGGTTGCGAAACTTGTCTTCCAGTATATCGGACTGATGCGCGATCAGCCGCCTCAAGAGTGGGTAGTTGAAGAGCAAATGCGGATTAGTGAAGTAGAGTTCCGATTCAAGCAAAAGAGTCCGCCAAGCAGGACTGCAAGTGGTCTAGCAGGCATCATGCAGAGGCCGTACGACCGCAAGATGTTGCTAAGCGGACCAGCAATTATCAAGAAGTTTGATTCCGAGCTGATTAGCGAAGCTATGTCTTACCTCCGGCCGGACAACTTCAGGATGACGATTATCAGTCAAGATTTCCCAGGCGGTTGGGACCAAAAAGAGAAATGGTATGGCACAGAACACAAAGTCGAGAAGATACCAGAGGATTTCCTTGCCGAGATCAAACAAGCATTCGAAAGCAAGAGCCGACCGGCAGAGTTGCATTTCCCACATAGAAATGAGTTTATTCCAACCCGACTGGAAGTGGAGAAGAAGGATGTTGAACAGCCGACCAAGAAGCCCAAGCTTATACGCCATGACGACAACGTGCGTATCTGGTGGAAGAAGGACGATCAGTTCTGGGTACCCAAGGCCAACGTGCACATTTACTTCAGAACGCCTATCACCAACGTCACAGCCCGTATTACACTGCTATGCACGCTGTATCGCGAACTTGTGAACGACGCTCTGGTAGAGTATTCATACGACGCCGACCTTTCTGGGTTGGTCTACGACTTTACCAACCACATCAGTGGTCTTTCGATTACTGTAAGCGGTTACAACGACAAGCTCCATGTATTACTGGAGAAGGTCTTACTTCAAGTACGAGATCTTGAGGTGTCGGAAGATCGTTTCAAGATTATTCACGACCGGATGTTGCGTTCTCTACGCAACTGGGAGTACGGACAGCCTTTCCATCAAGTCGGTACCTACTCTCGACAGTTCAAGAGTGAGAAGAGTGTAATGAATGACGAACTGCTCCCAGAACTTGAGAACGTGACGGCGCAAGATGTCCAGCAATTTTTCCCACAGATTCTAGCGCAGTGTCAGATTGAGGTCTTGGCACACGGTAATCTCTACAAGGAGGAGGCTTTGAAGATCACTGATCTCGTAGAGCGTACCATCAAACCCAGGAGGCTACCAGCGAATCAAGTACCGACGCGTCGGGGTCTCATCTGGCCGTCCGGCAGTAACTTCATCTATGAGAAGCAACTAAAGGACCCTGAGAACGTCAACCACTGCATCGAGTACAGTCTGTATGCCGGCCATCGATACGACAGCGTCATGCGCGCCAAACTGCTACTTCTTGGACAGATGACAGATGAGCCTTGTTTCAATCAGCTTCGTACCATCGAGCAACTTGGCTACGTCGTGTTTTCTGGCCCTAGCTTCCACGACATTTGGTCAGGATATCGTATCCTTATACAGAGTGAAAAAGATTGTCGGTACCTTGAGGGTCGCATCGAGAACTTCCTAAACACTTTCGAGCAGACTTTGAATGATATGAGTGACGAGGACTTTGAAAGTCACAAACGCGCGATGATCAACAAGAGGCTGGCAAAACTGAAGAATTTGTCATCTGAAGACAACAGGTTTTGGAATCATATTTATAGTGATTCCTATGATTTCCTGCAAGGTATGCCTACCGTAACCCTCCGACATTAGTATAGTATTAACGAATTTACAGCCGATGTTGATGCTGCGACTCTTGAGAAGCTCACAAAGAAGGATATGGTCGACTTCTACAACCACTACATCTCGACATCATCCTCTCAGCGCTCCAAGCTATCTGTGCACCTCCAAGCACAGGCTAAAGCAAAGGAGCCTTCGCTCGATGAGAGGAAGACTGCAGCTGCAGCTGCACTCAAAATCATCCTTGCCGAACACAAGATCACAGCTAAGGACGAGGCTTTCCAGGCCCGTATAAAAGACGTATCGTCTAAGGATGCTATCCCAGATGCCGTTGCCACACATCTTACTGATGACCTCAAGGTGGACAAGGAGGTCGCTAACAAGGTCCTTGATGAAGCCAAGGCTGCACTGGGTGTCGCGGACTCCGGTCTCCCTGCGGCTCCACAGGCCCTCGATGCGTCGGCGGATGTTAAGAGCATAGTGGATGCATCGCATCCTGTTCTCATTGAAGACGTACATGCGTGGAAGGCAAGCATGCAAGTCAGCTCCGGTGTGCGACCGGTACGCAACCTTGAGGAATTCGTCGAGGTTGCTGAGAAGTTGTGAGAGACATCAAGCCGATGATTTGGCTGCGTCGCTGTAAAGGAGATAGATGTGCAAAGACCTCCGAATCGCAATACGCGGGTGTACACAAACAAAAAAGAGAGAGATTACAGCTTCATTCCAGTGTTAGCGTAGTTGTAATTCTCTTGACCAATGCATGAGTCACACGTATTGAACACGTTTAGTCGGCTGCCTTCGCTTTGTCATTTGGTTTTACTCTATGCTTTGTAATATACAGATACTCAATTTCTTGCGCTATTGAAGGCGCATGCCTCGTCACTCTTCACAAAACCAACTGGCATACCAAAACACCATGCACGTGGGTATTCCATACCGAACCTTTGCATCAACCTCCGCAAGTCGTCTTCCGTTCCTGGGATTATATTGATAAATATGCGATCAGTATCACAACGCGGTTCCGAGTGCACTGCACCTTCTTCGCCGCCTACCCGGAAATATGCTACCTCTCCCACTGCTGGAGACTCAACCTCCATATCCTGCAGAGAGCCTACAAGCGAATCACGCACAATTTCTGTATACGTTGAACAACCTATACAGCGTATGGATGTACACGCATGAAGACCTATCTTTTCCTTCTCATTCTTCTTCGTCTCTCGCATTACTCGCAGTGCTGTCTCGTTGTCCTTTAGGAATAAGGTTCCTGGACCAAGAAGTGTAGTACATAGTTTCCAGCACCTCTCTTTGCTAGTGGGTGAAAATCCCAAACCAGGTGCTTCCGAATCATAGACGAAGAAGTTCTCGTCTGTGTGCCAACAGGGCTTGTCGTATTCGTGGGTTGGCGCGGTACAGCGGATTGTAAGCCAATAGTCGTGAACTTTTGCCTCTATAAGGAAAGCTTGTAGCCAGGAGAGAAGAGGAAGGAGGTGGGAGATAATGGTGGAAGGGGAAGAGAATGTCAGATCTGCCCAGGCGTGAAAGGACGGTGGGAGGGTTGCTTCGTCTGGCTGGAGTAGAGGACCACAGTATGTCCATGAAGATGGATGGTTGATTGCCAGATGTGGTGTTGATGCATGGCCAGCTGTAGGGGGAGCGCAGCTATTGGAAGGCACTTTGTCCCGCGCGATGGCGGATGGATATGGTATGAACGCGTGAGAACCGTACTGCAGGAGCGGATCGATACTCGGTATCAGGTTAAAGTCGCTCCATTCGAAGGATGCTTGTGAAGTCTCGGTCGACCCAGGTTCATCTTCGTAAAACAACAACATGCCTGTTTTGCGAACTCGGTCCTGACGCGTTCAAGACGACTTTTCCTGAAGAGACGAAGGTGACTTTGCTTAAGATGAAAGAAGATAAGCAAGAGGATGAATTATGCTGAAGTTCACAGCTTGATAATTATGATACATGTTCAATGTTTGGCTATGCGTGTTTACGGCGCAGTGGTCGCGTAAGGCGTCTGATTAGGTGTTGATGTTCAGGGCGCGATGAGAGTCGCGACAATGGGGGCTCTAACAAAGATGGAACACGAGTCAAGGAATCGTCCAACTACTGCCATCGTCGATCGCGTATCTGAAGTGAAGCAGACTGGTCCATATGTATAGGAGTATAGATGATTATGGTTGAGCCGTAGACGCGATCGAGGTGGGGCGGCCCGTCAACGTCCCGGCAACTTCGTCATACTTGACGCAGGTACCGACAGCTGCCCCAACATGGAGTCACCACACAGCACACAGCATAGAGAGCCACCTGGGATTGGAGGTTGAGCGGAAGAGGAGGAAGGACTACGAGCAACATGCTACGACGAACAATTCCACGGGCGACTGCACGCCTGCCACAGTTACTGCGCAGATCACACCAGCGCCGCTATGCAACAGAGCCCATCGCGCCCCCATCCTCCTCCCAGTCGCGCATCGAGCGCTTCAATCGCCGCCTACCAAGATTCCTGCACAAGTACACCAATGCGCTCGGCAACGCGCCAGTCACCCACATAACGTCATTTCTCATCCTCCACGAACTCACGGCCATAATTCCCTTGTTCGGGCTCGCGGGCTATTTTCATTACACGCACTGGCTACCGCCGTGGTTCGCCGAAGGGGCTTGGATTGCTTCGGGAGTTGAGCGGTTTGGTCGCTACTTCAAGCGCAAGGGCTGGATACGTAGTGACGAAGCCCTGGAGGCTGAACGTGAAGTCGACGAGATCCAGAAAGATGACAAGCAGCGGAAATGGATGAAGGGTAGCGGTTTGCTGTCGGCATCAGACGATGACGGGATTGGCAGCGAGACAAAGAGATTGAGGAAAGTGGATCAGGCTTGGAACATCAGTGAAGGTGGTGTCAGGCTCGTGGTCGAGTTCGCGACTGCTTACACCATTGTCAAGATGTTCTTGATTCCAAGGATTGTGTTCAGCGTTTGGGCTACACCGACCTTTGCAAGATGGACAGTTTCCCCATTTCTGAAGGCGTTTCGCGGCATGTTCAGGAAGAAGGGAAAGAGCACTGAAGCTGTCAAGGGAGGCGCTGCACCCAAGACTAGTAGTGGAAAGAGTACGTGACCTTTAACGGCCTTTTACTTGCCATCAGACCTTTAGCAGGCCTTAGAGGTTTGTATTGTACATGTCTATGTACATTCCGATTAGCTTGCCAAATTCAAATAAGTGGTAAGCATTTCTCAACTCTCTAGTTGAATTTCAAAGTCACGGCCATTCGTCCAACTTGCGGTGAAGTCTCTCTTTCCCTCAAATCCTAGCCCACACCATGTGTCTCCGTTTGTTCCACCCACTGTCGGCTTTGCGGTTGTTTGCTCTCCTCGTCTCTAGTCTCTTTCCAGCCCAATACACCAACTAGCAACATGTGTTTCAGCGATGACGATTACAGCTACGAGTCCAGGTTCGAGGTCCGCAATGGCCAACGCTATTACGCAGAAGACTATCACCCACGCTTTGGTATGTCCCGACGCCGCAAGTATGGTCTCGGCGGCTCATACTATCCTTCGCGATACTATGTTGGCCCTCCTAGAGGCCGCCACATAAGTAACGCGGTCATTCGTCCGAATTCGTACTCGCAGTCTGGCGGCGGATATCCGCTGGGTGTCGTGCCTGGGGGATATTCACGCAGCGTTCCAGGCCGGTACTCTCAAACCATGGTCCCTCGAGGTCTTGCTGGAGGTGGCTACCCTGGCTACTCGTCTGGGTATGCAAATGGTACTGGATATCATGTCGGGACCCGCGATGTTTTGGCGGTCAATTCAGCGATAGTAAGTTGTTCACCTTTTCTCTTTGCTCCGATCGCGCTGCCTTGCGCCTTCCCTTTACCACACCGCTGCCTTACCCCGCTATCATTGGCTCGCATGACACCCTAAGTCGTGACTTGGCTTCAGTCTCAATTGCCGCAACCACTTCTTGTGCTCGATCTTGTTGTGTCTGACTTCGACCTTTACCTTGTCTCTTCTCTCGCAGTACCCCATTCTGGCATTCACACCTACCCATCAAACTTGCAATATTGCAATCACCACCAGATATTCGCAAAGACTGGCTATCAATCATCATAATGGAAGCATACCCAAAGCCCCGCCACCAGTACATCTATAATCCCCGATACGGACAACGTGGCCTCCTCACCTATGCCGGCCAGGCCGCCAATGGCGCCACACCCACCGGCGTCGTTGGAGGCGGCTTTGGCTACGGTGGGTTTGGAGGCGTTGGCGTTGGTATGGGTGTAGGATATGGGGTAGGTGCTTACCAACCTGCGGTATACAACGCCCGTCCCCTGTACCCTCAAACTTACGCCACCAACTACTATCCCCCGAATTACTCCTATCCTTCCTACGGAGGTGTCTATGGCTACTACAACTACAACTTGTATGGTTCGCTGTACCCACTTGCTAACTTCTATTGCCCCTACCAGAGGACCTACTACAATACAGTACCCACTTATGGCTACACAGCGCACGTCTACCCACCCGGACCGACTACCACTACCACTACCACTACCTACCACGTGACGAATAGCCAGGCTCAAAACTATTCAACACCCGTCACACAAACGGTCAGGGAGACGAGACCAGCATACGTCCACAGTCACGCGCAGCAAGGCCCCACACGCGAGGACATCCAAATGGAGAGTCGGAGGATTGCGACTGAGCGTGGCTCGTACGATCCGCGCAAGATCAGGCCAGCCGATGCACGCGACGACGATCCCTTCTGGTGTCGCGAAGTCAACGGAGAGTGGCATCTCAGGTCCTACTACCAGATCGAGAACGAGTGCCATCCCGGTCGGTGGATGATGGATGCTGATATCGGCTTCCTTGTATTTCATCGCGCGTGATTGAAAAGTCAATGGCCAGCTAGCGACGCTCTCAACAACAGCACTGGAGGATTGACAACAGAGACGACACAGAATGAAATGAGATACGGTAGCGATCACAGCGGGGAGAAACTGGGACAACAGGATCTACTGTTTTCATGATCTTGTTCATGTATATACAGGCCGACGACTCAAGGATGAACAGTCCATTACGACGTAGGGACTAGGATCATGCAGAACAGGCGTTATTACAGGTGTTTCCTTGGCGACTTGCAGAGGCGGCAATTTAGCTGCTATTGGACGATAAACCACGGTATCAAAGTATCTTGCTTAATCTCTTGGGGCAGCACTTCTACACCCCTACTCGAATGTTATAGCCTCTTGGTTATACATTTAACACGCCGTGATGCATAATGCAGACATCCGTGGTTCTGCATAGACTCAACATCACTCGCAGATTTCCTGATTTCCAAACTCTCCAGCTCACATCTTTTCACCCTGAATCGTCGCAACAACCTTCCGTGTGTGCTTCGAGTCCCTGAACTCGAGGTACCAGATGCCTTGCCATGTGCCGGTATTCAATCTTCCATTTGTGATAGGAATTGTAACGCTCGCGCCAATCAATGCAGACTTCACATGCGCAGGCATATCGTCACTACCCTCTGCATCATGTAGGTACAGTCCCTGTCCCTTCTTGTCTTCTGGCACAATGCGATCCAACGCCGTGCTCATATCCGCGCGCACATCCGAATCGTAGTTCTCATTCAGAGATAGCGCGCAGGAAGTGTGTTGAACGAAGAGGTTGAGTAGGCCGGTCTTGTAGTTCTTAATCTCGGGGACTTCTTTCAGGATGTGGTCGGTTATGAGATAAGAGCCGCGCGATCGGCTGGGAAGGGTGAGAGATTTCTGTGACCTGGGAGGTTTTAGCAACGGAATCACGTCTGGGGAACGATAGGGGAATATAAAAATACCAAGACATGATTGGTGGTGAAGCACAGATATTCGGACTTGTGCAGACTATGCTTTTGCGCGGTTGTGGCGTCGGTACAAGGTAGTTTGCGAGACTGTTGTAGGGCGCCCAGAATATACCGACAAAGAGTCCTGGGAATAGGGCGATTACGAAGATGAATACGATCAAAAACGTTGTCAGATGCGAGGTTGTCGAGTGTGGCTGCGGCATTGAATTGAACTAAGGTTTAGAGAGTCGATTGTCGCCGGATTATGTGGGGTGCTGTGACGTCAGAGGGTGATATGTCTTGGTGGGGTTAGTACATGGCAAGCTACATGGCATGTGCGTTCTTTACTTTCACTAATATTTCTTGCGAACAATGTGCTCTTCCTCAGGATCAGAAGTGGCATTGATGTTTAGGGCTACGGCAATGTGGGCCTGTCAATAGAAAGAGCTGGACCAGCCATCATCGAAATCCCTCGGCCTGCTTCAACTTCCCCTGTTCTTCTCAGTCACTATTACATTAGGACTCAATTACCTCTGAGGAGCGGTTCATGTATTTCTTGCTGTAATGATAGCAGGACTGAGCACGTGCTCGATGTATGCAAATATGAGTTGACGTGCATAGCTACGCGCAAGTCAAAACTGGGGCCTTGTTTTGAAGCTCTCCAAGCTTGCAGCGTGTGTCCTGGAAGTTATTGTTGGCTGCACAGGAAACGGAAGAAGAAACAAAATACAGTGTTAGATGTCAAAATCATCGGACGCTACTATAGTGATCTGCGAAGGCCATCTTTAAATGAAGCTACGCTTTACGATGTCACTCATATTCTCGAGTCCCGAAAGCCACTGACTAATCACTTCACCGAAGGAAAATCCAATATAGTTCCTCCCGACTCGAATGAGATATGCTGTAATGTCATAGGTCTTTTGTACAGCGAAGATCGACTACCAGCACTCTCCGGCTTTGCGCATTGCGTTTCGCAGCACAATCTCGGAAGACTGCCTAGCAGACCTGTGAGAGCAAGCAAGCGAACTCAAGTAATTCAACTTAGTTGGCGATTCCGTGTTGACTATGACAAGCAATTATACAACAATACCTCATAACAAAGGAACAAAGGAGAGTAGGAAGATCATAAGGATTGCCTTTCACGTGGTCACAACATTGTCTCAATTTAACACATTCAACACTAAATAAGCTAGATGAGGACTGGGCACCAGGGACGCGCATCATCAACATTGGTCAATCTTCTTGTGGAGTTCCTAGCTCGGGTCTGAAGGGGTTCGCATTGACAGACAATGATGTGCAATGTATGATTGCTCGACTCAATTCATTCAATCGGATCGAGCCCTGCACCCATTTCCCGTGCTGAAGCAGCGAGGCGCAGAAGGTCTCCCGAGTCTCTATGAGCTCGAACACCATATCGCATGATGTTCCAGCGACTGGGCAAGACCACAGTTCTAACACGATAGATGACAGATTGAAAATTCTCCATTGCACTGTATATGTACACCATCTCCGAGCGCTCTTATGATTACAGTACTCTATCGCTGCGCGAGCGGCTCATCCGTCACCTGTTGCGTCTCGCTGACTTCTGCAGCATCACCTTTGGGCCCAAGCGGGTATGATAGCTCGTGCTCGGGAGTGGCTTCAAGGAGCGGTCGGTGTTTCTCATGTGCCTGCAAAAATGTCAGCAATTGTCCACTCGTAGACTACGCGAGCACTGAGAGTTCAAGCACACATAGTTGGAGAAGAAACTTACAAATGGCAGTCCGCAGTATGTGCACCAGCAGATCTGGGGCTTGTCTACGTTGATGAAGATTCTTGGGTGTCCGAGAGGTCCACCACCTCCGTCGCAAGACACTGTGCGGTCGTGGGTCCAGCGAACAGGCTGCTTGTGGATGAGCTCGATGGCGGCATATGGTCGAGGCTAAACAAGCTGTGTCAGTAGGTGCTCTCTCGCTGCAGTGTGTCGACTTGACTGCTCCACGCCGATCCTCCGGTCGTGTTCAAATGGGCGGATTGACAGGACATACCTGGTCCTCCATAATGCTCTGCTCGAACCTAGGCCCGCTCATGGCGACCTCCCTGGGATTCTGACTCCGCGACCAGATGCCCTTGTAGTTTGGCGCCTGTGTAACCCTCATCTTCTCGGCCTCCTCCGGAGACTCCTGCAGGACTTTGTCAAAAGAGCCCTCGGAAGAGGTGGGTAGCGCATTGGTCTCGGAGACATTCGGCTTTGCATCGCGCTTGACGGGGTCGTTGGCGGGGACCTGGTTGCTGGTCGTTGCTGTCGACGTGTAGCGGGCGAAGGAGCGGGAGCTAGCCGCTGCACCGCGGGAGCGCAGGGCGCGAAGGGCGACTGGGAGCATATCGGGCGAGGTGTTGGTGCAGACGGGCTGCGCAATTGCTTAGGAAAGATACCGCTTGGATACTGAAGTTGAGCTTCCGAGGGTTCGCGCTAGATTTACTTACATAAGCGCATGTGTTATTGGCCAAACCGATCCGCCTTCCCTTCACCTCCAATCTTCCATGAACATCGACTCCAATGAATCATCCAAGGAGCCGCTTCGAATTAGGCTCCGAAGGCCTTTTTGGTCGCATATCAATCCTGTAACTACAATTCGTCAGGCTACAAAGAGAAAAATGCACTACATGTAGATTAAGAAGAGTGCCTCAGATTGCAACACGCAACGGGAACGCTAGACGCTTAGCGTTGGTTGACAGCTAATTCCCATGGCGCGGTTCTATTATGGATAGGCTAAGCGGTAAGTCTAAACCGCCATACCTATACAATAGGACAGGGCGTCCACGAGTGTCCAGACATTCTCTAGGAATGACGCCCACACGCTGATAGCCGAGTCGGAGATCGGCTCTCCGCTAACCCCGGACCCTAAACCCAACCTCCAGCTCCAGCACATTCGAGACGATATCAGATTAAACACAGATCACAGATTTCTCATCACTTCCCAATATGGTCGGTTCCATACCAAACGACATCTTCCAGTTCTCCACATACTCAGCCCTCAACGCTGGCTTCAATCAAGGCCAACCACGGACCGCAGACTTGACTTCTCATGGCACCGATGGCATTGGTGTCTATGAAGATGGAAGCCTCATGATTCTGAAAGACCGACAAGCATATGCGCTCACCAAAGATGGCAAAGCAAACTCGGCGCCCATGAACGCACGCCTTCCTCTTGCATTGGTCACAGTTTACCAACCAAGTTTTCGCCTAAAGATTCCGTCTATATCACTCGAAGGCTTCGACGACCTCGTCTCGTCTGACGATGTAGGTCCCGCAAAGGGTGTCAATACTCTCATGCCCTTCAAGATCGCTGGTCGTTTCGATTCGATAGATTTCGAAAATGGACCCAGCAGGAGTGCGATCGATGGCACTATATTTGGATTCGTGGTACCAGCTTGGATGAAAGCTATCAGTGGACCGAGGATCCACGCACATTTCTTGGATGCCAGCGAAGAGGTTGGGGGCAAGGTCACAGATTTTACCATGGCCGAAGAAGCAGTATTGAGTTTTGCCAAGTGCGGAAGGTTCCACCTCGGTTTCCCGCAAGGTGGAGAATGGGAGGAGATGAAACTGTGATTGAAGATGCGTGAGCTGGTGCGTGAGTACCATGACCCATTATCTATAGCCCCGCCATAGCATCTTGTATTCATCCAAGTGAGATGACCACCACCATGGTACTCTGACAGTTGAGTCTCACCATCCGTGTCATCATTCTTCTTCTCTACCTCTGCGCTTTCTTCGTCGTCTCTTCCTCTCTCTTGCGATTAACAGCGCACTGGAAACGGCACCGGTTATAATCTTCGAGACGTAGAATACATTGGCTAGCTTCAACCGCCAGTTGCTTCAATAATCGAATAGGTTATTAAGGGTCGTGGCGAGGCCCTCAGTCAAGACGGTCTTGATGTACCACAATGATTTGAAAGATTCAAGGGCGGCACCTCAAATCCCGGTTGCGTATCCATAATGGTAGATGGAGCGCTTGCGTAGATGTTATCCACGACGCTTCTTGTGTTGCTCTGTATCGGCCGTTGGAGAGTCTGCAGGGTAGAATTCAATGAGCACCCAAGGAATGCTGAGACCATAACTATCTTCGACTTGTTGATAGGCGCGCAACCTGGTGCGAGACACCATGTCTGGACTGTGTACGGGCTGGCCTAGATGACTGTACGTGCTCTGTCAACGGAAATCGGGAGCAAGACGCGAAGAACGCGCGAGAAAACTACCACTACGAGGATACCAATCAGTAGAACAACAAGTTATATGTATCGAGTGAGTCATCACTCATCGACTTGTCATTTTGGCGTACATATTCGGTTAATAGATGGTAGAACGACGTACGCTTTTCCCGGGAAGTTTAGGAGGCTGACATCATAGTTGTCTCTCCACGAAAGCCCTCATGACGCGACAAAGCTGCTTGACAAGGATGAAAATAATCACGCCTGTGAGCGCGACCCAGATTAACTCGCTCCTGAGACTACAAGAAACATGATCGTCTAGTGTAGTGCGTTCAAGCATTCCCGCGTGACCGCAACATCTCGTCAAATTAAGGTTGCTGTCTGAGAGGCTAAGACCTCGGGATCGACCCGCGCTAGCTCAGTTCCGTTGTTCCTTTTCTACTTTCTAATGCTTACACCTTTTGTATTTATCCTTTCCACTCGTCTTTGTCGTAAGCTGCTTGTATGCGTGCCTGCCCAATGGACTTACCGCTTACACCGCGTGCGGTCGTTGCTGGCAGCTGTTGTGGAGGCCTAAATCTTCGACTACGCGGGTCTTGTACGCGGGTCTTGTACGCAGGTCTACGGGCGTATTTCGCTTGCAAAGCTCTCGTAGACCGAAGTTTGACCTTTGCTGCGCCGCGGAGACTGCGCATACTGAGGGCAGACATACGCGTTGTTCGTTTGCGCTATGAGCGGTAACAGGACGTGGTTGATGATATCTGGTTGCGAAAAGAAGGTGCGAGATCCACACCAGTGATCCGCAATCCCGACTACAGTATCGATACGCTTGGGGTATATACCCCTAAAACTCTCAGACAACTGTGTCGCCCCGTGTCTATGCGGCTAGGGACCACACCTGGACCTGTCCTCAGCCTGGAAGGATTAGCTTTCGCCCTGTGCACACATAGCTCTGATTGGCTGATTACCTTGGATGGACTATTTGTGAAAGGGAAACACAGCACTCAGCACTGCGCCTCAATGGTTACCGTCGCACCACCTGATCTTGCTCTCTTTGCATTTGCAGTACCGCTTCAAATACCACCGTCAAACTTTGCATTGTTTTAGCCCTGCTTTCATGCCTTGGGTCTTGTTTCTTACTTGGACTCGCTGTGGTTTCCGCCATTACGCACATCTAAAACTGCAAGATACATTCCTTTTCCTGTCCAAGGTTCAGAGTTGACATCATACGCCATGACGAGAACATGCAGTCTTCGCCAATTTCTCTTCTGGTTTTTCGTTGTGTTCTGCCTTCTTATGATAATCGCAACAGAAGCCGTTCTTCGTTATCGTCTTCAAGCCAGCGATTCCCATCCACTCACACGAACATCGAGGCCTCTCCAGAATCCCCTACCTAGCGCCACAAACCCGGTAACGTCAACGGCACCAGGAGCTCTCCGCAACCCAAAGACTCAATACCCACCGTTGTCAGCACCAGGTTCAAACTATGGGCTCACACACACGGAATGCCGCACCGAATTTCCTGGTCTTTTTGACGAACTGGATCGTTCGGTTGCGGTACGAAGAGACTTGGGAAACGTCAGCACTGCGGATATTGATTTGTCTTGGAAGGCATCTGGGGCAGTGCGGGTTATGATATACAACCACAAGGTGAACTTTATTCCTCGTTTTATTGGTTCATGACCAAGATACGGAAGCTAATCATGGTGTCTTCAGCTCTACATTATTGACTCAAAATTTGACGGAAAAGGCTACCAACGACCCCGCCTTCTCGCTACTTTGCACCAAATCAACCGTGCCCTAACTTCCTCACCCTTTCCCCTTCCGCCGATAGAATTCTCCTTCCACGTAAACGACATAGCCGACGAATCTCACTCACACCATACTCTTTGGGCCTTTTCACGACATGTCTCTCTTGACAAGGAGATGTGGGTGATGCCAGACTTTGGCTACTGGTCATGGCCGCTCGATCTGGTTGGTGAATATCAGCAGATACGCAGTGATATGCAGAGCAGCGAGGTAGAATGGGAGAAGAAAGTACCAAAGGTACTCTGGCGAGGAGCTGTCAAGACAAACAAGGAAGTAAGAGGTGCGTTAATGAGAGTTACAAGAGGGAAGTCATGGGCAGATGTAGATCAAGTGATCTGGAAGAGTAGGACGGATGTGACAGCGGGAAGTGCTGCGTTGCCGATTGTGGACCACTGCAACTACCAGTTCCTTGTGCACACTGAAGGTAAGGCAACCTTTTCTCGCTGCATAGCATGATCATAACTAAATATCTCGACAATATCGCAGGACGCAGCTACTCGGGCAGAGGGAAATACCTTCTCAACTGCGCGTCGATCATGATAACACATAAAGCTGAATGGATTGAGCCTCATTCGCACCTCTATATTCCCACCGGACCGAACCAAAACGTTGTAGAAGTAGAGCGCGATTTCTCCGACCTCGAAGCAAAAGTACAAGAGCTCTTGCAGAATCCAGAGCGTGCGAAAACTATTGTAAAGAATAGTCTAGCAACGTTTCGGGATAGATATCTCACACCTACTGCAGAAGCATGTTATTGGAGGGAGCTCTTCTTATCGTGGGCAGATGTAAGTTTCCAGCCAGATCCTTGGGAAATTGATGAAGATGGGATTGAGAAGATAAGGGGAGTGCCCTTTGAGACATTTGTGTAAGTTGGATATACATATCATCCGTACAGAGTTTGAGGCTAAAGTGATGCATAGGATTCAAGCACTAGACTTGGACTGCTCCTGGTGGAAGAAGGTGACGCTTCAGTGTTAGATGTCAGACCAATTTTTATTTTGGGAGACGATCCAAGATACCTATGTGAATAGTGTTGTTGAACAAAACCTTAGTTTGATATATAATATCCTGCCGTAATCAATTAGTTGTCTGTACATCTGTTATAGTAATGTATGAGGTGCAATCGTATGAAGGCCTATCTGTTAGTAAGGCTGACCTCTACAGAGTATGCAAGACACTGCATTGGTAGCTTTACAGGCCCTTTTTGTTTGATGAAGTGATGTGTACTGGTTGGTTAAGTTGAGTAAAGATCAATTGGAAGATTGTCGCTTCTCGTCTTTTGCGCGCAGCAACACCTGCAGAGAAGTGACGACTAACATGAAGATCTCAGAATCTAGAATTCTCGCCTATTTCCTCATCCACCATGTGCCTACCGCACAACATCGAGTCAATCTGACGCGAACCTGTTACCTGTATCAGTATGTTAACCAGCTTGGAGTCACGAGCGCTCTGGATGTCTGTACACAACCAGCGATAGATCGTACTCGATTTTGAATGTATTCGTACTTCAGATGTAACCGATGTAGCCATGCGCGCTTTTCCCAAGTATTAGGATAAACCGCCTTTACGAGAATAGTAAAGTACTGCGGGTACTTTCTCGGCATTCTGAACAAGATGCGAGATTTCTGCTTCCTAGCGTCTTGCATCATTCAAGCTTGTCGACCTTTGATGGGGTATAATACGCCCAGAAAAATTCTGCCCTGCGAGCGTCGGGAAATGGTAGGTGAAATGGGGTTTACAGACCACACCAAGCCTGTTCGCTTAACTTGGCACCAATGGTCTCATCGCTGCATCGCATCACGACATACGTCCCTTACCGTTCTCAACGCTTTCGGAGGGGCACCTACCCACTTTTGATAACTTCATTGTACGCAACATGGGTCTACTGACAGGGAAGGCATGAATGGCGATTCATGCATTAGTGTAGAATGCCAAAGGCAGAGTACCTATATAAGACGAGCATGTGGTGAGATACAGATATAGGCGTGGTACGTCGCCGTGTTTGCAACATGTCATCTGAACCCACTGAGCAGGAGATCTATCATGCGGACCGAGATGCACCTAAGCGAGTCTCCAGGTTCACGCGATGGTATAGAAGCCCGTTATTCAATGTCATCGTTGTGGGTATGATCAGCTTTACACAACCGGGTATATGGAACGCTCTCAACAGTATGTTTTTGTTCGCCCTCTTAACATTTTGACCAAGTCTAATTGCTACAGACGTTGGTGCAGGTGGTCAGCAAGAGCCGTATCTGGTTAATGGTGCCAATTCTCTGACATTCGGGATAATGGTCTTTGGTTGCTCTCTCTTCGCCATACTTGCCAACAAGTTCGGCTTGAAGAATATACTTCTTCTGGGGACTCTCGGGTACGCACCCTACTCTGCGTCGCTATACGGTACGTATTGAGAGGCCTCAAGGAGATGTGGAGTATACTGACATTGTAGTGAACAACCGCTACGGAGTGGAATGGTTCGTGCTGCTTGGTGGTGCAACATGCGGCATCGCAGCATCCGCACTCTGGGCTTCGGAGGGCGCTATCGCGCTAGGTTACGCCGACGTACACAACCGAGGGAAGTTCACCGGCATCTGGCTGGGCTTGCGAGAGCTCGGCCAGCTCATCGGTTCCTCGATACAGCTCTCTCTCAATTATAAGAGTGGACAGCGTGGAAAAGTAGGGTACACGACCTACATTGTCTTGATTGCACTCCAATGTCTCGGCCTTCCACTAGCCCTCCTTGTGTCGCCACCTCATAAAGTTTATCATCGCGACGGTCGCAAAGTCCCGGACCCGACGAAGAACAAAGCTGTTCTGAAAGAGGTGCAAAGATGGTGGGCATTACTTCGTGATAGGCGTTTCTTCTTACTTGTACCTGTCATGATCGGATTCAACTGGAACAACACGTACCAAGGCATCTATCTTACCAAGTACTTCTCAGTCCGTGCGAGGACGTTAGGATCCTTGACTTCCGGTGTTGCAGCGACATTCGCCAACATCTTCTGGGGCTGGTTCTACGATACCAAGTTCGTAAGCCGACCGACGCTCGCGAAGGTTACGTGGGGCATCTTCTCATTGCTCATGCTGGGCCTATTTGGCTGGCAAGTCGCCAATGAGAAAATGTATGCCGGCTCAAAAGTGACACTCGACTGGGATCTCCCAGGCTTTGGACGTGGGTTCGCTGTCAATGTACTCTTTCGGTAAGTTCGTATGCATCATAAACATAACGAAGGCTGATCATGTACAGCTTTATGAATGAGTCCCATTACATGTTCGTCTATTGGATTCTGGGAGCTTTCTTCGACGACATTGAAACTCTAACTCTTGCGGTCGGCTTGTTACGCTCATTCGAGTCGGTTGGATCCTGCTTGGCTTTTGGTATCGGGGCCGCTAAGATCGAGCCCATGGCAAATCTCATCGTTGCTTTCGTGATGTTCGCCATCACGATCCCATCGACGTTTGCAGCGACGTTTCTTGTTCCTGAGAGACCCATAGATGAACGTATGAGCGACCATGGCCTCGTGGAGGCGGCAGATAGTCGGTTTGCTGATGAAGCGGTGATAGACGTAGCAAAGAAAGACAACGCGTAGCACTATGTACGGGGATTATAATAGTGTTAGTTGGGATGAACCAGATCCGCCGGGTTGTTGTACGATACTGCTAATTTTCGCTGATAACGCAACCAAATTAAGTAGTAGAAGCACGATTGATGTTCATGTAACAGGGAAGTATGGTGCTGGTACTCTCATAAGAGCGCACAGTAAGATATTGGTGACGTGATGTTTGTGACGATGAACTATCGATTTGGTTCCTAGGTTGGTAGCGTGTGATAGCTACGGCGAGAGGCCTCGGAGGCTTTCCACTTTCGGATAGCTCCGCCTCATGTGTGGCGCTGGTAGCTCCAGCCAGCTGCCTGTACCACAACAACACAGCCTCGCTCCCGACCGTCATCTTATATACTTTTGTCACTCCCGTCTTGAGCTTCATCCGTACTACACAAATCTAGAAAGATGACGAGAAACCCACCTAGCCTTCGCAAGGCGGCTTCAAACGCTGACCTGTACGCGGACCCGTCACCGCCCCGCCCACTCCGACATTCGTCCTCGACAATACTTGGACGCGCTCATACGACTGCATCGTTGCCACATCGACAGCGGCTGGACCGAGCTGCAGAAAGAGGATGGAGGAGTCAGGTTGTTTCTGACTACCGTAACCGTCACAGCATCGCCGCAACCTACCCCGATCTCATTGACGTTGACGACCAAGACTACCCGGCGCCGTCGACACACCAGAACCCGCCGCCGGTACCGCCTAAGATACCAGAAGTGCCAGTTGAGCAAGCTGAACCGAAGGTTGAGATGTCCAAGCCGACACCTTCGCACTGCTGGATTCCCGTTCCCGCTCGATCGAAGGAGGATCCAGCACGCTACACGAAGCCCTTTACCGACTACATGACACGCAACCCCACCATCTTCCACGCCGTCGATGCCGTCGCTCAGGACCTCGAGAAGGACGGATACAAGAAGTTGTCAGAGCGCGATTCATGGGAGCTGAAGGCGGGAGGCAAATACTATGTCGAGCGAAACGGAAGTTCACTCATCGCATTTGCTATTGGAGACAAGTACGCGTCCGGCAATGGAGCTGCTATTCTGGCCGGACATATAGACGCCCTCACAGCGAAGCTGAAGCCCATCTCCAAGCTTCGCAACAAGTCGGGATATGTACAGCTAGGTGTCGCGCCTTATGCTGGCGCGCTAAGTGATACCTGGTGGGATCGCGATCTGGGTATCGGTGGAAGAGTTCTCGTCAAGGAGAATGGGAAGATTGTCACCAAGCTTGTTAAGCTTGACTGGCCGATCGCAAGAATCCCAACGCTGGCTCCCCACTTCGGTGGTAAGTTGTGATTGTACAAGATGCACATGAGACATACACTGACTTCGTATCTTCACTTCTACAGCTGCCGCAAATGGCCCCTTCAACAAGGAAACGCAAATGGTACCTATCATGGGTTTGGATAACAGCGATATCGGTAGCTCATCAAACAACGAGGAGGGAGACTCGAAAGCCGGTGTATTGGGCGGAGAGGGCGCCTTCACTGCTACTCAGCCTGAGAGGCTTGTAAAGGTCATCACAAGCGAACTCGGAATCACTGACTGTAAGTGTTGTTACCTTCAAATCGTCTAAGACAACACTGACGCGTAACAGACTCATCTATTGTCAACTGGGAGCTCGAGCTTTTCGACACACAACCCGCACAAACCGGTGGCCTTGACCGCGAGTTCATCTTTGCTGGCCGAATCGACGACAAGCTTTGCTCTTGGGCCGCAATCCAAGCTCTCCTCAACTCCAGCGCATCTCTTTCAACCTCATCCCAGATCCGCATGGTCGCAGTTTTCGACGACGAAGAAGTCGGCTCGCTACTCCGACAAGGTGCTCACGGCAACTTCCTCCCTAGTGTCATGGAGCGCATCGTTGAAGAATTCGCTTCCAACGGAAAGACAAGCAGCGCATTGAGCAGGACATATGCAAACTCCTTCCTTGTCTCGAGCGACGTCATCCACGCTGTGAACCCCAACTTCCTCAACGCGTACCTTGAAAACCACTCTCCGCGTCTCAACGTCGGTCCCGCCATCTCTGCGGATTCAAATGCACACATGACGACTGACGCCGTCTCTACTGCTATCTTGCAGCGCTGCGTAGACCGCGATATCGGCGTTCGCAAAGTCGACCCTAAACTCCAGGTCTTCCAGATTCGGAATGACAGTAGGAGTGGAGGTACAGTAGGACCGATGCTGAGCTCTGCGACGGGTATTAGGGCAGTAGACTGCGGAATCCCGCAGTTAAGTATGCACTCCATCAGGGCAACTACAGGAAGTCTGGATCCTGGTCTTGGTGTATTTGCCTTCCAGAGTTTCTTGGAAAACTTTGAGTCTGTCGATAAGGAATTCAGGGAATAGGATCTTGATCAATTTTGATAGCATCTTATGGTTCATCACTTTTTGCGTTTCATCATGCAAAGCAATCTTCAAATCTCTTCACATCGAGTAAATCACAACATCATTCATTGCACATACTACGAATCGAAGCATTACAGTACTCCGCGGCCTTTACCATGGCGCCGTAAATCCGATAACTCCACCTTGATGCCGCCAAAATCAATTCGTGCAAGACCGCTGGGCGGCACTAGTTCATCCTTCTTAAAACAACCTTAGCAACCACTACTGTACGTAGAAACAAGCTGAGGAAGGTCAGAGCAGGTAACGTATACCTATTGACCATTGGACCGTGTCGGCATCTCTTCGTCCTCGTCGTCTTCTGGGTGGCCGAGCAGATCCTTGACGTTCTTCATCTCGTAGTGCTTCTTACGTAGCTCCTCGAATTTGCGATGCTTCTCCCTCTCTTCCTGCGAGGCATTGGGGAGAAGCTCGCCATGGTAGCCTTCATCTGTGTCCATACCCTCTTCAACCATAACCCTCTTCTCGCTCTCCGGGGTCTGAGAGTGGCGCGCTTGCAGCTCTGGCTGTCCTAAGTCAAACTCGGGTATGTCGTCAATCTTAGGCTTTCGTTTTGGCTTATCAAGCTCGTCCACCTTGAGCTCTTCGGCATTCAGCATCTCTACCTCGTCCTCGTCCTCTGTGGGGTCGTACTGCTTGGCGTATGGTGTCTTGGGTTCATCGATCTTCATGGTGCTATCGCGGTTCTGCTCGTTCAGGTAAAGGTTGGCCTCGTCCCACTTGAGCTGCGGACTATTCTCATCCGCGGGGTCAATGCCCGATTGGCGCCGTGAACCCATGCCGCGCGGGTTTGATGAGGATCTCCGGTGGGCGCCGGCATTGCGCAGTGTGTTTTCCAGCACGATGTCCTTCTCTGACTTTTCGCGACCCAGCTGCGGCCGCTCGGCTACTGGGCTTACGGCTGGTGGGAGCTCGCTCGTGGGGGAGGTTTGTGAGTCGGAGCGGTACGAGTTGGAATTCTTGAGGATACCTGGCTTTGTTAGCTATGCGTGCACCACATAGCGGGGTATGGTGTGATCCCACCCTTAGGTCGCTCAGGATGCGAGCTCGGCGAATGCAGCTGAGGTGATTGCGCAGTCATCTTGGTGGTATTGTAGGGGTAATGAGGCGGTTGGGGTGTTCGTATGTGGGAAGGCAGAGAGGGAGACGAGCAAGCTTTGTACGGTGGTGGGCGACAGGTGAGGCGACGGCGTTAGTTTAGGACGGCTAGGAAAGCAATGCGCGTGGTGGGGTGCGTTGTCCTGTGAACGGACAGAAGTATGACGTAGACGGCAGGTACCTTTCGCACCCCGCACGCGCTTCTGATTCACATGCAGATGCGGCCTACAATCCCGCCCATTAAAGAGAGGCTGCCGCGGCTGTCTTAACACCCTTGATGTTGGTTTAATAAGTTGGCGTATCATAGTTTGTGCATGTACCCAGGTGCAAAGCTTTTGGAGCAACGCACACGAGAAGACAACATCAAACATGCTACTATGCGCCATCTACAAAGTACATTTACGACTCTATTGCGTTCATTGCTCTCCCAAGTAGATCAATCGGCTCCTTCGGCACCTAGCGTCTACGAAAGCTGTCTGTTACGCGATGGGTGGATGGATGGTCTGCCAATCTCGGCCAAGACTCTCTCCAGCATTGTCTATTGTTAGACGGCCTCTTCATGACGCGATGCGCTAGGGCGCTACTCGTGCCACAAAACATCTGAAGTCGCGAGATACAAGGTGCTGAGGTACACGGTGAGACCATAGTGTAAGCCAGTGCCCAACCTTAGCAACGATTACCTGGGGCCAATTCACCGCCTGCAAAGACCTACTGCTGTTGGGTCATCAATTAGCGGAGCTTTTAAAGATGCTTGATCAACGCGTGGCACAATAGTGGGCTTCAGACTTTGCCTTAGAGCTTCAAGCTCAACCAAGAAATCGCAAAGTCGCGATAGTGTACATCTGGCTGAGACTCAGACTACCAGAAGTGGTCCAGAGGACCTAGTCATCCCAAGCCGCGACGTGCGAAAGAAAAAATCATAGCAGCGCACATACAAGAAGAGACTGAGACAGCTTGCAGCCTCAACGCGTCGGGCGCGTGACAAAATAATGTCCCTGCTTTCAGGTCATCACCGCATCATGGAAGCCGCCGAAGCGGCCCTCGTGATGATGGTTTTAGAAGAGGATGGCTCGTTCTGGGCCAGTTATCCGAGTTGCCAGCTGAGTAGGATGTGTCGAGCTGGCAAATGATACGAGTCAAAGGCCGGTGTTGAAGAAAAGAAGAAGACGGACGCGCCGGCGAAGAAGAGATTATCGAGCTCGGTAGATGACTAAGCCACATCCTTGCCGCGGAAGGCGCGCGCCTGAGCTGCAAGTGCCAACCTCTCAAACGTTTTCTCAGAACGCACCACTATCCGCCATTGCACACGATCCATCCCACCACGCTCGACAATCACATACACTCCGCCTTCGCCACATCTTCCCGCAGTATCGTACCGACAACACGTGACAGATCTCCCTCTTGCAACACACAACCATTACCGCAAACTACACCCCGCATATCTTTCGACGCACATTGTTCGCTAGCCCGCCAGCTCCTCTGCTGCTTGTTCGCTCATTACTCCCACCAAGCCTTGGATACTTAACTTTCTTGCCTTGTATTATATACTCATTTGTTATTGCTGCCAATGGATAACAGGGAGAATCTGTGGACTAGGCGCTCCAAGTATGCTATTGCGTCCCCGCATCCTTGCTCTCTCGACTGACAGCCACCAACAGCACCAGCAAGCTCTCCCTCTCCATGTCACATTCCGAAAACAGCAGCGAAAAGTCCGAGCCGCACCAACGTACCGTCTCTGCCACTAAACGCTTTGGTGGCGATTCGTCCCACGGTGGTCGAAACCCTTTCAACGCCATATCGCCCTTGACACCCGGTGGCTTAGCATCGCCCACTACCGGGGGCTCCTCTGCGTTCGGGCTGGGCTCGGGCGCATTCGCTTCCTTTGGGTCGGCTGCTAAGACGCCCAAGACGCCTGGCACTGCTTTTGACTTCAAAGCGGCCGCCATGTCATCTCCTTCGCCCGCGACACCCTCGGACAAAAAAGAAAAGCCTGTGAGCAAGGTGGTCAACAGCATACGCAAGGAATCAATATCTACGGCCTTAATACCGGAAAACACATCGACTCCATCTGCGCCGCCGGATTTCAATGCGCCATGGCCGCTCAAGTACACTTGGGCAGTATGGTACCGCCCACCTACGGCCAAGAACGTCGATTACGAGAAGTCAATCGTGCCTCTCTGTAAATTCAGTACAGCGCAAGAGTTCTGGAAAGTCTTCTCGCACCTGAAGCGTCCCTCGAGTCTACCCTCCGTCTCAGATTACCACGTGTTCAAGCAAGGCATACGGCCGGTATGGGAGGACGACGAGAACAAGCGGGGTGGGAAATGGATTATGCGTCTGAAAAAGGGCGTAGCGGACCGCTACTGGGAGGACCTTTTATTAGCACTTGTCGGCGATCAATTCCTGGATGCTGGTGAGGAGTTTTGCGGCTTTGTTCTAAGCGTTCGAAGTGGCGAGGATGTTTTCAGCATCTGGACGAAGAGCGATGGCGTAAAAAATGTCAAGATACGAGACACAATCAGGCGGGTCCTCAAATTGCCAGAAGGAACCAATATCGTATGGCGGAGTCACGACGATAGTATCGCTCAGAGATCGGCCATCGACCAGGCTCGCCACGAGAAGAGTCAGCACGAAAAGCGGAGGGTAGTCTCTACAGATGAGTCACGGGAGAAATCGACAGGGGGCTCTTAGGGGAAGCTCAGTTCAGCGACGGTCTGCAGGCCAAACTCTTGTTGGTCGCAAGATCAACCGTTCATTCCCTGGACACTCTGCGGTCGTTCATTATCTGCCTCTGTCATCATGGGCGCAGACCACATAAGCTGGAGAGCGCAAACGGAGTACGATTCCAACAAGTCGATCCTTGGCCTCTAACCGAACACAATGCCGATCCGAGCTGTACTGGGTGTGTGTCGCAGAGGCGGCTTCTTCGCAAAGTCGACCGCCAAGATGATGGGTGCTTGCTATCGAGCACCGTCTACAAGAGATACTACTCGCTTCTGTTGCTGACTGAAGCGCACAATAGTCCAGCGACTAATCGGGGCCGTCGTTGTTGGAACACTGATTAACATGAAAGTGTCGACGTACATTACTTGGGTTATAACCACAAGTATGGCGCAGCACATTGTCTTAGCGTTATCTCTGTTCTTTGTACTTTTACATAGCGAAGCGTAGGAATTCGGGTAGCATCAAGCCCTGGAGCTTGCCCAGCCACAGATCGAGGTACTGGAGAAGAACTTGTCGCATATTTTGGTGACAACGATCAAACTATTGGAATCCACAAGTTGGTCTTCTAAGCTTACTCATATGATGGGCTAACGTCTTCAAATCTGATCTGCAAAGTGACGCCGTTTCGGCGAAACGCGCTGGAGCGTCTACAACAAAGAGTCTCTTCTTCTCTGAAATGTACTTCGTACAGAAGATCGCTCTAGAGTAATTCGCTGTGATTGGTATCGAGATACTTTCAGGGTTTCAAATATCGTACATCTAAGCACGCTGTAAATATTTTGCATAAATCAGCAAAATTGTACGTCAACGTCAGAGCAAAACGCACGGACGCAACCGCCGACAAGTCGTTCTGGCGCGCCTTCACCTCCGCATGCCCCACGATGCGCGTCTGCGCTTGTGCAACCCGTTCGAACAGTTCCAAGTCCGCTTGACTCACCAAACGATGCTGCTCCTCGTCGCCTTATCACCGCGATGCTACACCAATGTTCACTAATTTCTTCAACGGCATACGAGCCGCTGCCGGAAGCTCTTTCGGAAGCACGAACGAAGACGTACGCGCGCCTTTCTTTGCAGGCTGTACGGCGGTCTCGGATAGTCCAGCCGCTACAATCTACCTTCAATCTATACCATCCGCGCCTCAAGCTAACGCCATGTCGCTACAGACAAACGATGCCGTCGCCGAATCGCCGTCGGGTACTAACTTGCCTCCAAATCCCTACTCTAGGGACTCACCACCCGCACCAGAAACCTCGCGCATTATCGTAGACCTCTCCTCGCCCACGAACCGTCCGAGTCGACCCGCCCACAAAGAGTCACATCTGGAGAAGCATCGTTCGCGGTTGCAGAAGTCGGAAAAGAGCGAGGACGAGAAGCGCTTAGTCGGAGATTACACGTAATTCTCCTTTACATATGAGGAGCAGAAAAAGAGGCTGACTTGTGCGAAGCAAACCAGCGGATGCGGTCGATCTCCCGGATCCAAGGTCATATTTGCCGCTGACGAAACGCACCATGACTTCAAAGGTATATCACTAGCAACTCGTCCTTGGTATTCCATGCTGATGCTCTTTAGCCTGGTTCAAATAGCGGTTTTAGACCTTTAGATACTATGAACACTGGACCCAACGTACCGAGCCGAAAGCCAACAACATATGGAAAGAAAGACCGCCCACCTCCACCATTGATAGGCCAGGTGCATGGCGCAGGACAGCTTGCGTACCTTCAGCATAGAGAAGAAAGAGTATCGGCTACACCATCTCGTCGCTTGTCTTCACGAGATGGCCATGAATCGCTATCGGGTGGAGCTACACCGGGAAAACGACGAAAGATCAACCATGTCATAACACTAGATGACGATGATGACGATGAGGTGTTGGAGGTATCTCATCCCGTACATACCACAAATTTGGGCACGTTAGAGGACCAGATGCGTCCAGTCAGATCTGAGCAACCACGGATGAGCATTGGAAGTGGAAGCACTATCAGCGACTTTAGGCCGCTCCAATCGAAAAGCGAATTCCGAGAAGTCGACAGTTTTCTTAAATCTTCTCAGAGGAAGCCAAGGAACTTGAGTTCTAATGCACCTAAAGGTGACTTGCGACACTCCCCTTTCGGTGGTGGTGCTCTGTCAAATAGCCCTGGCGCACGTGCTAATCGGCAGGTTATCTTGCAAGATTTTCAACAGGGCGAGACGAAGCAAAGCCCCACGAGACGTGCTAGCTCTGAGCATAAACTTGGCCCAGTCACATCTCGTTTCTTTCC